TTTGTATTTTCCTACAACTCGTAGTCTACTATATGATCCCGGCCCGATTCAAACGGACACCCTTCTGATCTGGAGTCAGATGCGCTACCGTTGCGCCACAGGGCCAGGTCGATGTCGTTCAGCATCATCCAAAGGAAACATACAGGTGAGCATTTTGTATTTTCCTACATATGATCCCGGCCCGATTCGAACGGGCACCCTTCTGATCTGGAGTCAGATGCGCTGCCGTTGCGCCACAGGGCCAGGTCGATGTCGTTCAGCATCATCCAAAGGAAACATACAGGTGAGCATTTTGTATTTTCCTACAACTCGCAGTCTATCATATGATCCCGGCCCGATTCGAACGGACAACCTTCTGATCTGTAGTCAGATGTGCTACCGTTGCGCCACAGGGCCAATCTGACGTTGTTCAGCATCATCCAAAGGAAACATACAGATGAGTATTTTGTATTTTCCTACAACTCGTAGTCTATCATATGACCCCGGCCCGATTCGAACGGACAACCTTCTGATCTGGAGTTAGATGCGCTACCGTTGCGCCACAGGACCAATCTGACGTTGTTCAGCATCACCCAAAGGAGACATACAGATGAGTATTTTGTATATTTCCCTACAACTCGTAGTCTATCATATGACCTCGGCACGATTCGAACGGACAACCTTCTGATCTGGAGTCAGATGCGCTACCGTTGCGCCACAGAGCCAAGCCGACGATGTACAGCATCCTCCAAAGAAAACATGCAGGTGAGTATTTTGTATTTTCCTACAACTCGTAGTCTATCATATGACCCCAGCCCGATTCGAACGGACAACCTTCTGATCTGGAGTCAGATGCGCTACCGTTGCGCCACAGGGCCAAACTGACGTTGTTCAGCATCATCCAAAGGAAACATACAGGCGAGTATTTTGTATTTTCCTACAACTCGCAGTCTATCATATGACCCCGGCCTGATTCGAACGGACAACCTTCTGACCTGGAGTCAGATGCGCTACCGTTGCGCCACAGAGCTAATCTGACGTTGTTAAGCATCATCCAAAGGAGACATGCAGGTGAGTATTTTGTATTTTCCTACAACTCGTAGTCTATCATATGACCCCGGCCCGATTCGAACGGACAACCTTCTGTTCTGGAGTCAGATGCGCTACCGTTGCGCCACAGGACCAACCTGGCGTTGTTCAGCATCACCCAAAGGAGACATACAGGTGAGTATTTTGTATTTTCCTACAACTCGTAGTCTACCATATGACCCCGGCCCGATTCGAACGGACACCCTTCTGATCTGGAGTCAGATGCGCTACCGTTGCGCCACAGGGCCAAGCCGACGTTGTTCAGCATCATCCAAAGGAAACATACAGGCGAGTATTTTGTATTTTCCTACAACTCGCAGTCTATCATATGACCCCGACCCGATTCGAACGGACAACCTCCTGATCTGGAGTCAGATGCGCTACCTTTGCGCCACAGGACCAATCTGACGATGTACAGCATCCTCCAAAGAAAACATGCAGGTGAGTATTTTGTATATTTCCTACAACTCGTAGTCTACCATATGACCCCGGCCCGATTCGAACGGACAACCTTCTGATCTGGAGTCAGATGCGCTAACGTTGCGGCACAGGGCCAAGCCGATGTTGTTCAGCATCCTCGAAAGGAAGCATGCAGGTGAGTATTTTGTATTTTCGTGAAGGTTTCGTAAGAAAGCAAGTTCAAGCAAGTGCACGAAATGAGAAATATGTTGGTGTTCTGATGTTATCGTTCGAACTGTATGTTGTGGGACCGAGATGGTTCCACCTATGAACCAGTCTCGTCCCTTTCTTTTTTTTTTCTTCTCTTTGTCAGTTATTCGTCTCTCCTCCGCGTTTAGTCTGTCTCGTTTCTTTCTCTTGTTTGCAGTTCCATTTAATCCCTATTATTCTCTTCTATGCCGTCAAAGGGTGTTTGACACCAGGTGTAAATGGCTTGTGAAGCCGAGCCCGAGAGGCAGACTCTTCCTGGCAACCTTAGGGGACACGTCTTCGAACGGAGACCCCGAGAATAGGTGCGAGTCCAGGCGTTAGTAATAGGTGATCCATAGGGGTTACCGAGTGGGTACCTTAGGGGTCACGCCTTAGAGCGGAGACCCTGTGGATAGGTGTGAGCCCAGAGTTTATATGGTTAGTGTCCGTTGGGATGCTATCTACAGTGAGATTCCTGGTCGAGGAATCCTGGGTGTAGACCCTCCGGGGGAATCCTTGTCGAGACCTCCTTAGTGCGGCTCCTACAAGAGCGATCTGTAAAGATAAAGGGATACAGGGGGAACCATCGTTGAGTGGTTTCCCCCGGAATGTTCCCGTGGGTAATTTCATGATGTGGTATAACATCGGTCAGGGACGACACACCATCGAGTGGGTCTCCTTGTGGGTTGGAGTGTCTGTGGCATCTTCCTCCTGACACCAGCCTCGTATTCGTGATGACATCATGTGATTAGGGTCACTGAGCGACACTCAGTGGTGCGGATTGGTCTCTGGAGAGCCCTACGTTGTCCGCCGGCATCCTCAATAGGAGGATTCCTGCTGATCCATCCGAGAGTGGATCGGTTCGTGGCACAAGCTTTGTGCGACGAAGCATGTCTGTTGACACAATGTTTGAGTATTTGGTGTCGCCTCACAATTAGAATGCTAGCCTGT